GCAATAAATGTATGGGAATAGAGGTAAAGGAGACTAAAGGCGAGAGGGCTGTCTTTGGCAAAAAAGGGAGGTGAGAGAAAAAAAGACAAACCTCTAACTTAACACTTTTCTTTAGAACGACTGGCCCTACAGGTTTTAGAAAAACCTGGAAAGACTTACATGAAGTGATGCTGAGTGAAGTGAGCAGAACCAGGAGACCATTGTACACAGTAACAGGCACATTGTGCAATGACTAACTTTGATAGACTTAGCTCTTCTCAGCAATCCAAGGATCTAAGACAATTCCAAAAAGCTCATGATGGAAAATGCTATCCATATCCAGAGAAAGAACTATGGAATGCAGATTGAAGCATGTTATTTTTCTCTTTTTTTTCTTTCTTGTAGTTTTTCACTTTGGTTTTGAGTCTTCTTTACAACATGACTAATGTGGAAATATGTTTAATATGGTTGTACATGTATAGCCTACATCATATTGCATGCCATCTTAGGGAGGGAGAAGGCAAAGGAAGGGGAAAATTTTAGAACTCAAAATCTTACAAAAGTGAATGTTGAAAACTAAAAATAAATAAATTTAGTTTAAAAAAAGACTGGCCCTAGATAAACATCTTCTTCTAATTTATGCATTCATTTAGGAAAAAAACATTACATCATTTGTCCACAGTAGTAATAGGCTAACAGTATGTTTTCTTGAATCCACACTTTTGCTCGGTACTAAGCCATACCCTATTCCTAGAGTGCTTATCTTTATCATCCCTAACTATTGAAATCTAACCATCCTTCAAAGCCTAGCTCAACTTTCACATCCTTCATGAAATCTCCTTATTACTCCTTCCAGGAAAAATCTCTCCTGTGAACTTTCACAGTACACTGAGCCCCTCTTATTCTTTTTAAAAATTACCTTTATAAAAGTTAAGAAATAACTTTTATAGTTATTTATGTGCATGGTTTAGTTCCTCTACTAGCCAATAAGTTCATTAAAGGCAGATTCTGCAGTTTTGTTGGGCAGCAATGTGGTACAGTAGAAAGAATACCAGGCTTGGAATCAGGAGTCCCAAATTCAAGTCCCAGCCACAAATAATTACCAGTTGCATCATCTTGAGTTAACTGCTCTAAGTCTTATTTTCATCATTTGTAAAACAGGGATGATAATAAGGCTTGCAATAATCCTCATTAGGTTGTTGTAAGGGAAGACCTACAGAAATATATCATATACTTAATATTACACATCTTTGTATCCCTCATTACGACTAGCTAAAGAGGGAAGGGCCCCTTAAATATTGTATTCAATAATGACTTCTTGGAAAAATAAATGAATGTATGAAACAGGGCTAGCAAATAAACCATGAGTTCCAGTTACATAGTGAACATTCTATACAACCTTAATCGAAGCAAAACAAAAGTCTTTCCCTTCAACTCTTTGGGATTTGCCAATTTCCTTCTAGCAAAAGTTGCATGACCGGTAAATCAGGAATCAAAAGAGGAAAGATTCCATCCTGAGGGGGCGGTGGAAGAAAAGTGTGATTCCCAGGGCTTCTTCTCTTCTCCCCAGACTGGCATTTTCCAGTGGAAATTCCCAAGGGCAGACAAAGGGAGAATCAGGGGAAAAATTACTTCAGTGTCAAGAATATTGACTGTTCCTTAGAATATATCAGCTAGCATTTAACAGGTCTCCAAAAAGCTCTGAGGTTAATAATAGGTTTCTACTGTACATTTCATCTAATGATCTTGTAATGCACAATTCCCATTAATTAAATGGTAATTGGGCTCTTATTGAATAAGGAAGTATCTCTCTTTTATATTAGAGAAAGAAATCTAAGGTGTAGCTGGATTAAATGACTGCTTTGGCATTTGATGACAGTACTTTCCCTTGGAAATACAACTCACAAATTTGTGCTGAACTGATGGAATGTAGCAAGGACAGTTAGAGTGGTAGTTTAACCTCAGCCATTTAAAAATACCTACATTAATATATTTTGTTGTTGGAAACTTTGTTACCTCTTGTAGATTATTTATTATTGTTGGCCCCAGTGCTTTCTTCCCTTTTCCTGAGTGCTTACAGAGGCCTGGAATCTAAGAACTAGTGCCAGTTCTGACACTGAAGCCAAGGAGAACACGTCTGATCTCTCTCCCTTGTCTCCCCCCACCCTCCATCATAGCCCTTCAAATACTGGAAGGAAATTAACATATCCCCAATCTTCTGTCCACATCAAACTTTCTCAATTCCTTTGAGGATTGAGGATCTTCCTGTGACACAGTTATCAAACCTTCTCACAGTCTTGTGAACCATCTTATATTGATTGTCTTCCAGTTTAAAATGTGCTTACCAGAATTTAATATGATACTCTAAATGTGGTCTGATTAGGACAGAGGATGAGGGATTATCATCTTCATGATCCTCAACCTTTCAATGTAGCCTAAGATCTCAGTATTTTGGGCTACCATGTTGTACTCCTTACTCATTTTCAGTTTGGAGTCCATTAAAATCCCTGGATCCCAGCTGCTTGCCCCCCCCCAAAGGAAGACTTACCTGTGAAGCTGATTTTTTAAATATCAGGGTAAGACTTTATATTTATTATCCTTCCTCAGAAACAAATTTGTATTTACTTGGTATATATTTTGGCTATGGGTATTTTCTCTGGATGTTTCCCATGCCTGGAATACTTTTCTCCCTCATCTCTACCTACTGGCTTCCCTGGATTTCTTTAAGTCCCAACTAAAATTCTAACTTCTACAGGAAGACTTTCCCAATCAGTCATAATTCTAGTGCTTTTTCCCTCTCTTAATTATTTTCTATTTATTCTGTATTTAGTTTGTTTGTACCAAGGCTCTGTCCTGGGCTTTCATCTCTCCCTGTCTCTCCCTCCTCCTGTCTCTTCCTCTCTCTCTCTCTCTCATTTTACTTGGTGATCTTATCAGATTTCATAGATTCAATTATCATCTCTATGTAGATGATTCTCAGATCTATTTATCCACCCCTAATATCTCTCCTGACCTCAATAGTCTCACATTTCCAACTGCCTATGTGGACATCCAAACTGGATGTCCTATAGATAAAATACATTCAACATATAAAAAAGCTGAACTTATTATTTTTCTCCCCTAAACTCTCCCCTCTTCCTAACTATCCTCCCAGTCACACAACCTAGATGCCACCTTCAACTCCTCACTCTGTCTCTCATTCTGCCTCTCACCTGCCCCTCTCATTCAATCTGTTACCAAATCCTGTCTACAGTCATAACATGTCTCGTATTAACACTGTTTTTTCTTCTGACAGTGCTGCTATCCTGGTGAAGGCCCTCCTGCTGAAAATTTCACCTCATTACAATCCAGCCTCCACTCAGCTATCAAAGTGATCTTCCTAAAGCACAGGTCTGATCAAGTCACCGCCCTCCCTGCTTAAACCCCTCCATTCAACAGACTTCCCATTACCTCTAGGATCAAATATAAAAACCTGTTTGGCTTTTAAAGCCCTTCAAAAACTGTCTCTTCCTACATATCTAGTCTTACACCTCATTCCCCTCCATATGCTCTGTGATTAAATGACCCTGTCTCCTTGCTATTCCTAAGTGTGCCCTACAGTCCATCTCCCGGCATTCTTACTGGCTGACCTCAAGGTCTAGAACTCTCTACCTCCTCACCTTCACCTCCTTATTGGCTTCCCTGGATTCCTTTAAGTCTCAGCTGTGGTTGTGGTCTATCCTTCATTCTGGAAGAGGACCATGACATCAGGAAGATGATGCCATGACTTGCAATTGAATTGGATTTGAGGGAGGGAGGGCTGTGCAAAGTCACCAGGCTCACTTTCTCCTCCAGAGACATCTGGGTCCAGTTGCCAGATATAGTTCAAGACAACTGGAGACAGCCCAGGATGCAGTGGGAGAGAGTTCTCACTTTGACTGAGGCAACAGCCATTCAGTGATTAGGCCTGTTTAAGAAGTCAGTCAAGGGATGGCCCCTTTAATAAAATAATAATAATAATAATAATAATATAATAATAATAATAATAATAATAATGATTTTTAAAAAACGGTGAAGTGAAGACCCTCAGAAGTATTAGCTAAAGTCTCACTGCAAGAAACCTTTCCAGATTCCCCCAAGTGTACTAGTGCCTTCCCTTTGGGATTTTCTCCAATTTATCCTGTATATATTTTCCCACTATTATCTTCCCATAGACTGTGAGCTCCTTGAGAGCAGGAACTATTTTTTTGCCCTTCTTTGATCTCCAGTGTTTGGCACAGCAAGCGTTTGAAAATTTTTGCTGACTTGATTTGACTTGACTTGCCCTGGGTTACACAGCTAGTTAAAACATCTGAGGCAAAATTACAACTCTGGTCTTCCTTTTTCCAAATCCAGCCCTTTATATGTACACGTTTCGCCCAACAGAATGGAAGCTTGTTGTGGACAAAGGTGTTTTGGTTTTGTCTCTGTATCTCCAACACCTACCACAGCTGGCTCTCCATAAGTACTTGTAGAATTGAGTTGAGTGCCTATTAAATTGCATCTGATTAGATTCGATCAGTCAACTAGCATCTATGCCCCATCACTGTACTAAGGATACCAAAAAAAGGGCAAAAGATAGTCCCCGCCCCCAAACTTACAGTTTAATGGGAGAGAAAACAGGCAGACAATTAGGTACAAAAGAAGCAATAGACAGTATAATCTGGGGGTAGCCTCAGAAGGAAGGCACCAACATCCTGACCGCTCACGTCTGTTGCCAGGCAGATGATTTGGAAACTTAAAGCTCTGCAAAAACGCCAGCGGCTGTAACCGAGCTGCTGCTGCTGCTGCTGCTGCTGCTGCTGCTGCTGCTGCTGCTGCTGCTGCTGCTGCGCTGCTGCTGCTGCTGCTGCTGCTGCTGCTGCTGCTGCTGCTGCTGCTGCCCCATTCCCAAGCGCTCCTCTCCCGGCTGCGATAACAGGGACGCATAGGAACGCAACTATACCGGAACCAGAGGTTCCTGCAGTTGGTTTCCGGCCGGCGCTATTCTCACTCGTGCCTCTGAGAACTTCCGTGAATCTCACCCTGCGGAAACTTGGCTTCTCTGAGTAACGGGAGTCGTCGGTTCCGCGATGGAGTTTGAGGAGGCGGTGAGGACTCGGGTCGGGCTGGGATGGAGATGGAGGGAGAGACGGGGCCTCGTCAAGCCCCCCAGGAGAGTGCAGGGACCAGTCAGTGCACTGAGGGCCTCGAGGCGGGGCTGGGAGGTGCTGACTCGGGGGAAGAATTGCGGAGGGCTCGGGCACTTTTTATGTGGTGCATGGAGTGTTCAGCGTACACTCGGTACTCCCGTGAATGAGGGGTTTGTGTGTGTGTGTGTGTGTGTGTGTGTGTGTGTGTGTGTGTTTGTGTCTGTGTACATATTTGAAGAGCTATCTACCGTTATGTGGTGTCGGGGTGTGTGTATACGTGCGCGTGTGTGCGTGTGTGTGTATTTAAAGAGGTACGGTCCGTTGCTGCAAGTGTTAGAGGTAAGTGTGTACACAAGTTCAACAAACTTTTTTTTTCCTTTTCTTTTTGGTGAGGTAATTGGGGTTAAGTGACTTGCTCAGGGTCACACAGCTGGTAAGTGTGAAGTATCTGAGGTCGGATTTGAACTCAGGTCCTCTTGACTCCAAGGCCAGAGCGCTAGGCACTGCTCCACCTAGCTGCCCCTCGGCAAACATTTTTTTAAGCACCTAAGGAGTTCAAAACTCCGCTGATCTCTGGAGGAGGGGGATGGTGGAGGGGAGGGGAGATAAAGACACTGGGTGAGACAGAGACCCTTCCCTAAATAGCTTACATTCTGCTGGAAGAAAATAACTTTAGGTAGATAAGTAAGTCGGGTTGGAATTGAGAGGAGTTGAGGAGTGTGTGTGTGTGTGTGTGTGTGTGTGTGTGTGTGTGTGTGTGTGTGTGTTGTCTCTTTTTGTATCCTCATCAGTTAGCACAGTGCCTGGCACATAGTAGACACTTAATAAGTGTTTATTGATTGATTAATTTTGTTATTGTAAAAGCTTTCCAACTTTGTGTAATTGGAATTACCTATTTTTTTTCTTTTTTTGATCACCTCTATCCTTTAGTTGAGAATTTTTCTCCCAGCCAAAATTGTAAAAGGTGCCTATTATTCTCTTCTGACTTTTTAAATGGTGTAACCTTTAATCAGGTTACGTATACATTTTGAGCTTATTGTGGTATAAGATGTTTATATCTAATTTTCTGTCAGACTTTTCCCAGCATTCTTGTAATAGTTTTCTTCAGTAATTCCATTATCAGGATCATGTTAGTCACCTGAAAGAGAAGACTGCAGCTTTCCAAATCATCTGTCCAATACTTGATAATTTCACAGTCTCACAGAATTTGAGAGTACAAGGGACCCTAACAGCCATCCAGTCCAACCCACACATGAAAGGAATCTGGGCTATGATATACCAAAAAGTGTTCCAGCCTCTGCCTGAAGAGCTCCCAAGTGGGGGAAACACTACTTATGAAGGGGCAACTCATCTCACTTTTTATGTATAGGTCTAATTTTTTAGGAAGTTTTTCCTGACATCTCTAGAATGAACCTCTTTAGCATCTGAATTTTCATGCCTCACTCTAGATTTACAGTGGCATCTCTTAGGACAGTACCCTGAAGATAATCTTCCCAAATCTGCTAACCTCTCAGTCCCCCTTTCTTTGTCAGGCCTCTAACTCACATCCTCCTACCTAGCTACACACTCTCTGAATAGCTAACTGAATATACAGTAATAAAAAATGCACTATCTAGATGTATATTTGAGTTAAATATATTGAATGCATATTTTTCCTCTTCTCTTACAGAGAGACTTTAATGAACGATGTACACAGTGTGCTGCTGTTTCCTGGGGAATTACTGATGAAGGAACATATTTTTGTACATCTTGCCTCAATGTTACAGAAGTGAGTATTAGATATTTTAGGAAATAAGTTTGCTTACATTTAAAAATTTCTGTCATGAATGTAAAATGCTGAAATATAGTTTGCAAAGTTTTATAGTTGAACATCCAAATTTATTTGTTTATATCTTCTTCAGTCATGTCACTCGAAAATATATCTTCGCAAAAATTTAGACTTAGGATGCTGTCTTTATATTAATTCTGCCAGATGTTTGAAATGGTTCTGCTTAACTACTAAACATTAGGCTTCAAGGAAGAAATTATCTTAGCTTCCTTCAAGGAAGAGACTTTAAATCTCCTAACCTGATTTGTGATTTGATGTTGTTTTGGTCAAAGACCTATGATTTTATTGTTGTGGGGGAATAGCTGTTGTGGAAGTTCCCTGCACTGAAGCAGATCAGCAAATCATCTGTAATATATATTGATAGCAAGTTTGCCTGAGTCAGTGAAAGATTACATGACCATGGGATCATACAGCTAGTTTTTCAAAGTATAGACTTGAACCTAGGCCTTCATGACTTGAAAGCTGGCCCTCTATCCATGGTGCCACACTGCTTTTGTACATAGCACATACTTAATAAATGTTTATTTTAGTATTCTTGGAATTAATCTCTGGGGGAAAAAAAGACATTTTGTACTTTAGGATTATTTAACTCTTGTTATTAATATTGTTAAAGGTTTTAAGTGTTACTCTAGATTGCTCCCTGCATGCATAGCTGAATTTGCTGTAGTAGTGAAAAAGACTCCCAAAATACTGGGTAGAATCTATAAGAATATTGGAAACAAAATATAAGCAGATCCCAACATGTGTAACCATTAGGAAACTGATGTCCTAATCGCGTGGCCAAATGTCTACATGAACTCCCCTTCCCTCCTTACTGCCTCCTTCAAACAAGCATTTATTAAGTGTTTAATATGTGTTAGTACTGTCCTAGGTTCTGGGATAGAAATTAGACAGCCCATGTCTTCAAATAGCTTATATTCTATTGGGAAGAAACAATGTGTGTGTGTGTGTGTGTGTGTGTGTGTGTGTGTATGTATGTAATAATAATTATACTTTTTTGGGTGGGGATGTAAATCAGGAATAAGGAAAGGCTGTGTATAGAAACAACTTGAGTTTAAACTTCAAGGAAAGTAGGACTTCTAAGACATAAAGGAGATGATTGTGATCTTTGAGGAGGACAAGAAAGCCACTTTGGCTGGCTCATAGAATGTAGGAAGGGGAGCAATGTATAATAAGTCTGGAGAGGTAGTTTGGAGCCAGGTTGTGAAGGACTTTTAAGTGCCCAACAAAGGAGTTTGATCCTTTTCAGTATTAAGGAGTCACTGGAGTTTATTGAGTTAGGAAGTGACATGGTCAGAATGGTTCTTTAGAAGTAACTCTTTGGCAACTTTATGGAAGATTGATTGGAGAGGGGAGAGACTTGGATCAGGTAGACTAATTAGGAGGCTTTTGTAGTAGTCAGGGTAAGAGGTAAAATGAATGCTGTGCTCCTCTTGGGATTGCCTAGCTGTAGGGTGCTGAGCTGCTCTGTGCTCTGTGCTTCCTGGTAACTGATATGGCCCATCTTCTGCTGTACCTAATTGCTTTCTTTGGCTCATGCCTATCTGGGGTTGTTTCCACTTCAGCTCTCTGTAGGGCTCTTGCAGTATTTTTGTGAAATCCTGGCCTACATGGAGGAGCTTAAAGCTGCTTCTCTTTGGCTTTCTTTATCATTGTCTTTTTTGGTGTATTTTTATAACTTTTCTGAGGTATTTATTTGTTTTTAGATTTTTTAAAATTATGATTTAAACCCTAAAAGAAGTGCATTTTCGTAAAGTAGCAGATCACAAAAAGAATTTTATATAAGGCCCTGAATCTTCATTTTATAATGCTTGCTTTTTGAAAAAAAAAACCCATATAATAAATTCTACATAGTACTTTTCAGAACTACCCTTTTTGTCTTTGTTTTTTTCTGTTCTGTGCATTTTAAAACATGTTATAATGGGTCTCTCATTTTTTCATGACTACTACTAACTGCCTTACCTCCCCAGCAACTGCGAAAAAGAAAGATAAAAGACAACTCTGTAATAAAATAAGCATAGTTAAGCAAAATGAAGCCATACTCTAGCGACGTCCAGAAATTAATGTCTCAGGATCTTATGTTCATAGTAACATGTTTCATCATAGATCCTCTGGAGTCATGTTTGGTCATTGTGTTGGTCGGAGATAAATCTTTTGAATTATTTTTCTTTTCAATATTGTTATTTAATAAATTGTTTTCTTGGTTCTACTTCATTTTTCATCAGCTCGCATTGCCCAATATTCTCTGAAATCATCTCTTTTGTCATTTTTTATAGCTCAGTATATTCCATTACATTCATATACCACAGTTTGTTCAGCTGTTCCCTAACTATCTTAAGAGGCAATTTAAGGCACATCTTTAGTTTCTATATGTTTTCTTTTCTTTTTTCTTTCCCTCATAATATTCCTCCTTCAGGATCAGGAGGGTGTTTACTTGTGACTATTCCTTTCTAGCATTATGCTCCTCTCCGATATATATCCTTTCTCATGTTATGCTCCTTACTAACCATTTGCTCCCCCGCTTCTTTCCTTGTTGAGCATAATGTATTTCTCCATCAAACTCTGTGTGTGTGTGTGGGGGGGTGTACATACGTACCACCCTTCTTTGTCTGTTTCAGATGAGGAGAGGTTCATCTGATGCCTACTACTGCTCTTCTTCCGTGTTTATATACTCTTTTTGTCCTGCACCTGATTTTGAGAAATAATGAATTCTACCCCCTTTTTCCTCTTTTCTACACTACCTTTTCTTTCCCTCTTAAAATCCTCTGAACAGCATTCCCAGAACTTGAGAGTGCCTAGAACCTCTTGTTTTTTCTTCTTCCCCCATTAGACTGTTAGTACTATGTCATCTTATAGCTTTCTTTTAATTATTCAGATTTACTTTTCCAGGTTTTTCTCTTGTGTTTCTATTTCAAAGCTCCTACTCAGCTTTGACTTTTTCATCAAAAATGCTTGAAAATCCTCTCTTCTTTAAAGGTCTGTGTTTTCTCTCCTGTTGGATTATACCCTCTTTTGCAGGGTAAGTAATTCTTGGTTGGAATCTTACAATTGTGTTCTGTGGTCTCCTCTTGGTTTTAGTAGAACCATTCAGGCCTTGTGTGGTCCTGATTGTAGTTACTTGGTACTTAGACTTCTTCTTTATGGATCTTCACAGTATTTTTTTCTTTGATATAGGAGCTCTGATTTTTGGTTATGATTTTCTTGGGACTCCTCCTTTTAGGGTTCCTTTCAGGAGATAATCATTGGATTATTTCTGTCTTTACTTTGCCTTCTGAGTCTACTAGATCTGGACAATTTTCATTTATAATTTCTTAAGATGTTAGTATCTAGGCATTTTTAATTATGTGGCACCAGTGATTCTTAAATTCTCTCTCTTTGACCTGTTACAAAGAAAGGTCAGTTGTTTTTTATATCAGATATCTTAATCTATTTTTTAGTCTCTTGGTTTGGTCCTAATATTTTTTGCTGTCTTGTGGAGTCATTGATTTCTATTTGGTCTATTATGATTTTCAGAGTTTCTGTTTCTTAGATGAGATTTACTACTTTCTCTTTTAAGCTACTTACACTCTTTTAAATTCTTTCTTCAGGGCTTTCATTTTGCTGTTTAGTTCTTGCCAATTTTTTTCTAGTTTATTCATGTAGTCTTTGTGAAGTATCCATCTTTTTTATCCATTTAAGACTTCTCACTGTTTGCAATTCATTAGATTTGCAATGGTTTTTGTTACTAGTTGGCATCTATTAAATAAAATACTTGTTCAGCTGGATCAGATTGTTATGCAAAGGTCAGGCTCTACTCCCTGCTTATTTTTGGGTAGAGTAGTAGGCCTTTTTTGGTTTCATTCTGGACCCTCTGGGTTCTTGTGCTGTCTTGAGTTAACCCCTCCCTCCAGTGGATCTTTGAGTTTCTGAGCACTGGATCTTCAGGGCCATCTGTGGTATCTCAGGACAGGTGACCTCAGAGCTCCTGGGCCTAAGTTGTCTTGGTCTGAGCTGTGAGTCACTATGCTGAGCAGCACTTTACTGATCTCTCCAGGGCTTCCAAAGTTCCTGCCCTAGGGGCTTTTGAACACTCTGGGGCATTCCCTGGGGATTCCTCTGGTCTTGCTGCCTTTGGATGCAGAGCCTTGTAGGCTACATGTATTCCACCTTGAGTCATGTTGAAGCTTATTTTGCTTGAGAGCCTCCTTTCCTATTATACTTTAGATTCTGGTTGACTTTTTGTGCAATTCTGTTGTGGAAGCTGTCAGTTACTGTATTTTCCCGTTGGATTTCTTTATCTTTCAAGGTTTTGCTGGAATAGTGGCAGCTGGTTGATCTGCGTCCTATTTAAGCAGCTATGTAGCAGGAACTGCTTCTGGGGTGGATATGAGACATCTGGGTGTCCTAATACTCCACCATCTTTCCATATTCTTCAGCTGAATTTGCAAGAGCAAATCCTCTCTCAGCCTGTGGAACTCTGCAACTGACAAAAACTCCCACGTTAGACCATACCCCTCATTAGCCATTGTTTTAATTATTTATTAGTTTACTCTTTAAATTTCTCCTGCAAACACCCAGTTTATTTGATGATGAAAGCTAGTATGAATTTTGACTCCCCACTAGAGGAAGTCGTTCCCTCGGTCCTAGGAGGTATTATCCTAGGAACATTTTTATCATCCCTATCAAGTTCCCCAATCATTCATCACACTAACCCCACACTTTGGGGTTTTCTTATCCCTCTGAACTCCCTATATACTCCAAAAAACATGTTAGCTAAAGGAAACCATGGTCTGCCTGATTACCCAGGCTACTGTTCTTTCATAACAATCTTCTGACACTTAAAAAAAATGAATTTAATTACAAAGCCATTGTAAATCAACCTTTGCTGGCTCCAACAAGTATCGAGCTAGTCCTAACCCAGGCCTGTCTAGAAATTCAGCCTCTCTATCCAAGTTGCCTTTTGTTTGGGTAATATAGAGCCAGGGTGAAATGTAAAAGTCCTAATGAGCAGTCCTACAAACTCCTATATGTTCTGATGAGGTTAAGTATCAGTTTCTATCTTTATAATGGTCTGTATCTGCTTTTCTCAGAGGTGTAAGGAGGTTGAAAGTATTGTGGACTTTACACCTAACACAAAGATCCAAGCCATCAGTAGAGGACTTAAAAAAAAAAGGAAACTTGGTATGTATACTCTTGATATACTCATCAGCACTCTTTTTAAACATATATATTATCATCTTTTTAGTTTTCATTTAGAGGTATATGGATTGTGAGGACTAGCACCTCTGGTGTGAGGGCTTATAGACCCCTTTTCGGAGCTGCTTATCTACCTTAGGTGTTCACCTCATTTACCAAACTCTCACATGTGGCTACAAGAAGCTGTAGCATTTGCAGCAGCCACACCCTGGCAGATGGATTAAACCAGGGTTAAATCAGGTTAAGGGTAATAGGCCTCAGATCCATCAGTGAGTTAGGGGGATGTCCGCCCTAAGCACGTGAAGACTTCCCCCGGCAGAATGGGCATATGAGAACAGTTTGTTCCAACTGCCATGAAGGTGGTCCAAGCAGGCACTGTGGAGCACTTAGAGCTTGGTCAGACGTCAAAGATACCAAAGTTTATCTGCTGCATGCTGGGCCATCTTTAGTTGTCTTTACTTTTTGTCTTGCCACTGGACTTCTGATGACTCTGGAAGAGAGAGAGAGAGAGAGAACTGTGCAACTCTACCTCACTTAAATCCAATTCATGTGCAAGTCAAGAGATTGGCTTGGATATCCTTGGTCCTTTTCACTTAACTACATTTCTAGGACAATGGTTTAAATACCAGATTTCTTTCTACAATTTCATTAGTATGAAGAACCCCCTAGGTGAAAAAACTTCCTTCTTGGCAACATGTAGTCTTTAAAAAGTTGCTTAGAGGGCTGAGAGGTTAAGTTACTTGCCCCCTAGTCACATAACTAATATGTATTCAGATGTGGAAATTGAACTGAGATCTTCCTGGCTCTGAGGCTCTCTCTATCCACTATATCATATTGAATTTGTATAATATTTTAAGGTTTGCAAAGTGCTTTACAGATATCTCATTTTATCTTCACAATAACCCTAGAAGATAGGTGCTAGTGTTTTCTTCATTTTATTTATTTTTTTTTTTTGGGCTAGGCAATGGGGTTAAGTGACTTGCCTAGGGTCAAACAGCTAGTAAGTGTTATGTGTTTGAGGCCAGATTTGAACTCAGGTCTTCCTAAATCCAGGGCCAGTACTCTATCCACTGCACCACCTAGCTGCCCATTATCTTCATTTTATAAATGAGAAAATTGAGGTAGACAAACATGAAGTGACTTGCCCAGGGGTATACGCTAGTAAGTATCTGAGGCTGGATTTGAATTCAGGTCTTCCTGACTCCAGGGCCAGTGCTGCCTTTAGTTTTTATATCACAATCATTTCTGCACATACTTCCCTCATAATATCATCAACCCAAAAAAAATTAAGCAAAAACAGCCAACACAAAAACAGTGTCTGACAGTGTAATTTGCATTATTCCCTTATAATCACCTGGTTTCTTTGCTTAGAAGAGAGAGGTAAATTTCATTGTGTTCTCTGAGACAGTTTTGTCTTTTCAGTTATTCAGTTCATTTACATCATTGTAGTTATTGTTGAATGCTCTACTTCTTTTCATTTATGTCATTATAGTTGTTGTTGTGTGTTGTGCTTCTAGTTTTTATTTTACTGTGTCACTTCCTACAAGTCCTTCCACTTTTTGTTGAATTCCTTATTTCTGTCCTGTCTTACTACTGCACAGTAATATGTAATTACACTTGTATACTCCAGTTTGTGTATTCATTCTCCACATTCAGCATCCACTTTATTTCTAGTTCTTGGTTACCGCAAAAAGAGCTGTTATGAATATTTTGATATGTATTCTATAAGAAAGAATTTTTTTAAACAATGCTGTCTGAAAAATAAATGAGCTCCTTCATAAGGTTAGTGAGTTAACCATTACTGGTATTGTTCTGTCAGAGAGTCGATGACTACTTGTCAGGAATATTCTAGAGGGGATACGTACATTGGGTAGAGAAAGAATTAAACAGTATCTATGCTATCTCTATGCATTTGGATATAACAGAATATATGTATATGTATTTTATTTTATGTAAATAGAGTAGTAATTATGGCTATGTTAAAATTTCATTAATTTGTATGTTATAAATTATTCATAATGCAAAGTAATACTCTAAATCTGAGATTTTAGAGAGATACATACAATATTTAGAACAAACTCTTAAGGTAATATAACATGAGTGTTGAACATGGGAGTCAAGAAGACCTAGGCTCAGATTTTGCATCTGACACTTAAGCTTTGTGTTCCAAGTAACTTAATCTTTCTGAGCTTCAGTCTCCTCATTTGTAAAACGGAAATAATAATGCCTAAATAATGTATTTCACAGAGTTGTTAGGAGGCTTAAATTAAGTAATGTATTTTAAGTACTTTGCAAACTTTAAAATGTTCTATAAATGTCAGTTATTATCCAAGAAACACCTATACTAATCTAAGTTATTCATATCTGCTCATTTGAGCAGGTGAACTAATGAGCATCTACCAGATGACAGTTTTATTAGTCAAACTAAGAATCCATGTGTTCACACTTAAGTGTGATAAATAACATTGCTTTTTTAAAAGTTCATTAACTCAGTTCAGCAAATATTTATTAAAAATATGTATTATGTGTAGTCCTTTACCCCAGTTAGTCTGTTAGTGAATTTTTAATGGTATGTTTTTAAGCTTCATCATCCACACTGTGAAATTAATGAATACATGTTTTTTCTGCTAAAGACCTTCTCTCGTGATTCCTGTTATGGACATAACCCTTAATTCTCAAAGGTTATGCCACTGGATCATAATCTGTGGTAGTTTTATCAAACTGAAGGGTTTCAAGTGATGGACCCAAGTCTTTTGCCTGAGAACTAACCTGGTTAAATTCTGAGTCTGATTACCAGGTTTGCCACAGATGGATCACTTTTTCAGCTTCAGAAATTCTCTAAGACCATTTACTAAGTTATGAGAAGGGTTGCAATCTGCATTGGAGAGAAGGTGAAATTAAGATCCAGAGTATCAGTGCTAATAAAAAGAGGTAATACTCACCTATAGTATGCCACTTGCATTTGATATCATCTTTCCTTGGCTTTTTCCCAGCATCTGATTACTGTTTTCATAAGACTAGACTTCTATATCCTTAACTCTTGGCTCCCTTTTATATTCCTTCACATTCATCTGCTCTTGACATTATTCACACTGTCTTCTAGTTCAGCAGATAAGTGTAGAAACAGGGGTTGGGTGCTTTATATTCAACTTTTAGATGGCAGTCATCCATTAGAAAGTATGAATTTTTCATTAACTTTAGTTTTATGCAGAAAATGAAATTCTTTTCTCTGGTGTATTTCATATTAGAATACAAAAAAATTACAGACCACTTTTAAGAAAAATATTTTCCTCTCGACAGTGTTAAAGTGATCATTATAAAACTGATTTTTAAAGGTAAATCACTGTTTTGTATATATACTTGATAGAGAGGAAACAAATGTTGACTTGAAAAAATGTAATGTGGAAAGAATAAGACCTACATTATGAGGTATAAAGGAAATAGATTTGAAAAGAGTGAATCACAGTTTTTAATTGTACTGTAATATTGGTAGAACTGCTTCTTTGTCAAATGTTAACCATTAAGTTAAGAGTACAACTAATTGAAATATGCTCTTTGTCATATAGAGAAAGGCTGGGAGTGGTATGTCTGTGAAGGTTTTCAGTATGTACTTTATCAGCAAGCTGAGGCTCTGCTATCCCTAGGAGTGTGCCCCAAATTAAAGGTAAGTGCAATAGAATGCATATGATAACTTTACATTTTGTTGTTTCTAGCACAATAGTATTCAGAGTGGAACTAAAGATCTAGGACTACTGTAGTAGTCTATTAAACTATACTTTTTCCCTGGAGTGATATATATAGCAGTGATATATAAAAGTTTCACTTTTACTTAATTTTCATATTCTCTAATTTTTAGTATTTAGAGTAGTTAAATTAATTTCTTTGTAGTTGTCTTTCACTCAACAGATATTTGTCATTAATAGTAAATCTACATGCCTTGCATTGCTTAGTGCTATGGGCCAACAAGGAGTCTACAGTATTAGTGAGAGAACAAGTACACATGAAATGATAGTAAGATGATATATAATTAGGTATTTAAAAAGTGATTGCAAAAGGAATTAAGAAAGATCCATATGGGCTTAAGTGGTCAAAGAAAACTGTAGAGGTACTTGCCAAAAACAAACCAGTCTTTGATAAGGATAAACAAGGAGAAATTTCAGCAAAAAATGTCTTGAACTTTGGTTGAGTAGATAGATAGTAGTCTATTCTTTGAATACATTTTATGGAAGTAAAATTTTAAAGGACATTTATTTAAATCTTTGAACTACTAGAAACCTCCCTACATATAATAATAATGACTGGATCACAACAGAAGAAAAAGTTTAGACAGAAGAGCTAATTACCTTTAGTTATCATAAACATAGTTTTTCTCTACTGTAATAACTGTGTAGTAGAAGATTATTTTGCATAGTTGCTGTGCATTTTCATTCTGACTTGCAGTAATGCAAAATATCATTCTATCCTGGTCAATACATTTCATTACAGCCAGGATGACTCTGAAAGTATTTTCTTTATTTATAATTGACATGGGGACATACCTCTAGGTAAAATCAATTAATAATATCCTGTAGTATAGAGAGAGTGCTGAACTTGGAGTCTAGTTAGACCTGGCTTCAGATCTTGCCTCAGATATTAGCTGTGTGGATCTGAGCAAGTTACTTAGCTTTCTGAGTCTCAGTTTCATCATCTTTAAAATGAAGGATTTGGACTCAATAACCTTTATAGTTTCCTTCCAGCTGTAAATCAATGATCTTATAATTATTGAGTAATTAATATGTGCCTAGTACTGTTAATAACTTTTTTGGAAAAACAAAACAGAGTATCACATAAGAATATGATATTGTTGTATTGTGGACATAAAAGCATATCTGTCATAAATTGAGCTATTTTTTTTCTCGTTAGGATGAAGTATTACATAATTTTTGGAAGCGTTACCTTCAGAAGAGCAAGCAGGCATATTGCAGGAAGCCAGTATATTCCAATGATAATAAATCTGCAGTAAGTTTCAAGTTCATAAAATAACTAGTTAGTTAATTAACTAAGTAAGAAGTTAAAAGGTTGAAGGAAACACAGACAAGCAGGACAACTTTAAAAGCAATATGTTGAATTTACCTTGTACTTTTTTTCATTGAATTTATTTTTTATTTCCACCCCTGGGATTAAAAAGAAATATAAAACCCTTCTAACACATAATTGTGGTCAAGTAAAACAAATTGCTACATTGGCCATGTCCAAAAATGTGTATCTTCTCCCTGTTATAAAGTGGTTAGCATTTTTCGTTGTCTGCCCTCTGCAATCATAATTGATCATTACAGCAGTCAGAGTTGTTAAGTCCCGAAAAGAGTGAATCATTAATTTCTTGAGGTCCCATGTATTCAAATTCATACCATTTGAAGTTATAATTGTGTAAAACATGGTAATTGGTTCTAGCCCAGTGGAAATATGCAGTGCAAATTTGGAATAATGTGATTACTTCAGGGGATTCATTTTTCATACTAATTGGGACCCAGTTGTATGTTCAGTTGATGTTCACTTCATTTCACTCCATACCCAGCTATCTTATGACTCACTTGACCTCAGCCCCATGACCTCATTTTGGCAGTAATTCTGCCCCTATGGCTGCTTCCTCCAATTAGTGAATTCTTTCCCAGAACCTCTGTTTGACAAAGTATCCTAACTAGCTATGCTCACTTCAGGTCTCACTCAGCCCATAAGTCGTTGGACTATTTTTCCACTTACCTCTTCTGCTCCATCTTAGAGGTTGAATACAAGCTCCTTGATGGTTAGGCCTGTGTTTTTGTTTGTGTTTGTGTTTCTAGCACTTAGCACAGTGCCTGGCCTAGAGTAAGAATTTAACAAATTCTACTTTCTACCTGTCTTGTCTGTCTGTCCATCCATCCATCCTGAAACTGTTCTCTTTCTTCATAGCTTACAGTAGTACTATTCCATTAATTAATATACCATAATCTGTTCAACCCTCCCCCAGTTGATGGATACCCTCTTAGTTTCCAGTTCTTTGCCACTGCAAAAAAGAGCTGCTATTAAATATTTTTGCACATACAGTACCTTTTCCTGTTTCTGTGATCTCTCTGGTGTATAGGCCTAGTAGTGGTATCACTTAATCAAGGGGCTTGTAGTTAGTAACTTTTTGGTCATAGGTCCAAGTTGCTTTCCAGAATGCTTGGACCGGTTCTGACTTCCACCAGCAGTACATATATGTGCCTATTTTCCCGAAACCCTTCTTGTAGCATTTGTCATTTTTTTGAGGGCGGTGGTCAGCTTTGCCAATCTGATAGGTGGAATTTCAGAGTTAGTTTAACTTTCATTTTTCTAATAGTTATTTGAACATTTTTTCATATGTCTATAGATTATTTAGGCTTCTTTCCTTAAAAATTGCATCATCATATCTTTTGACTTGGGGGAATGCCTCTTTATTTTTACGCCTTGAATCAGTTCCTTTTCTACCTTGGAAATGAGACATTTATCAGACAGCCTTGCTGCAAAGATTTTCCTAACAATTAACTGTTTCTTTTCTAATCATAGCTTCATTGGATTTGTTTGTGTAAAATTAATTTTATGTAATCAGATTGTTAATTTATCATCTTTGATCTACTCTGTCACTTATTTGTGAACTCTTTCCCTATCCATAGATTTGAAAGGTAATATTTTGCCTGGTTCTAATTTGTCTATATCTGGCTTTTTATATCTGGGTTGTGTATCTATCCATTTAGGACTTATTTTGGTTTATGTAATGTCATGTATTTATCTAAGCCTAATTTCTGCAGGACTGCTTTCTTAAATAGTGAATCCTTACCCCAGTAGCTGGGATCTTTCAATTTATCAAACACTAGCTAGTGGGTTCATTTACTTCTATATATTGTATACTCAGTCTGTTTTGTACACAGTCCAGTGATGAACTTTCTATTTTTTTAAGCCAGTACCAAATAGTTTGGGATTTGATACTGTTCCACCTTTTTCATTATTACTCTTGAGATTCCTGACATTTTTGATCCTCCAAATGAATTTCATTGTTTTTTTTTCCAGCACTATAAAGTAATCCTTTGGCAGTTTGATTGGTCTAGCAATAAATTAGTTTAAATAGCAGTATCATTTTTATTATATTGGCTCAACCTACCCATGAGCAATTAATGTTTCTCTAATTATTTGTCTGTTTTTATCTTTGTAAGCAGGGATTTATAATTTTATTGCTATAGTTGTTATATATATCCTGGTAGGTAGATTCCCAAGTATTTTATACATTCTATAATTCTTTTTTTTTTGTTCTATTTTGTTTTGTTTTTAGGCAGTTGGGGTTAAGTGACTTGCCCAGGGTCACACAGCTAGTAAGTGTCAAATGTTTGGTCTAAGGCCAGATTTGAACTCAGGTCCTCCTGACTTCAGGGCTGGTGCTCTATCCACTATAATTCTTTTAAATGGAATTTTTCTTCTTATCTCTTATTACTGAGTTTCATTGGTAACATGTAGAAATACTTATGACATATATAGATTTATTTTATAGCTTGCCATTTCACTGAAAGTCTTGTTTCAGTTTATTTTTAGTTGATTTTCTAGGCTTCCTTAAGCCTTTATATCATCTATAAAAAGTGATAATTTTGTTTCTTTTTTGACTATGCTTGTTCTCTCAGTTTCATTTTCTTGTCTTGTTGCTATAACTAGCATTTCTAGCACTATCAAATAAAAGTAGTGGCAGTGGACATCCTTACTTTATCTTGGATCTTATTGGAAAAGACTCTGTTATATCTCTTTTACATATAATGCTGGCTGCTCTTAATATCAGATTTAGAGAATCCATCCTAAATACTCAGATGGACTATTTGTGCCCAACCTGTGGTAGAACATTCCGAGCTATTGGTCTGATCAGCCACACTAGGATACGCTGAACTTGACTCTAGCATAGTGATGTCGTTTTGGTCCTCTTTGAGAACAAAAGACAACCAATAATGCTGGCTGCTCTTAATATCATATAAATTCTGTTTACCATGTGAAGGAAAGATTTGTTTATTCTTGTATTTTTAGTGTTTGAGCAGAAGTAGATGTATTTTGCCAAAAGCTTTTCCTATGTCAGTTGATGTAATCATATTATTTAAAAATTTTTGTTATAATATGGTCATTTATTTTTATAGTTTTCCTATTATTAAACCAACCCTGCATTTTTTATATAAAGCCAACCTAATGATAGTGTATAATCTTTTTGATATGTTACTGTAGCATCTTTGCTAATGTTTTATTTGTAATTTTTTGCTTCATGTTCATTAGGGATGTTAGTCTGTAGTTTTCAACTGATACTTGGAGGTCTGGCAATGAGAGGGGAATTCAAAGGTGTTGGAGACTATCTTGTGAAAATAACCAAGTCCGATGGAATTCATGTTTTGTGTCAAGGTTTCAATATCTCTGTCCAGGGCATTATCATCTATAGAGCAGCCTACTTTGGGAGCTATACTGTAGCCAAAGGTTGGCTCCTAGATCACAAGAACATGCATGTTTTAAGTTGAATAATTATACAGTCAGTGACTGCTATTGCAGATGTGGTTGGTCTCCTCTTATCCCTCTGATATAGTAAAGCAGTGAATGATGATGTGATGATGTAGTCTGTAGGGAACAAAGGAACTGATGTCACTTACACTAGGATAATTGATTGCTGGGGGAAAGACTGCTAAAGACAAAGGTGGAAAAGCATTTTTCAGGAGTACCTAGTCCTGTTTTTTTTTTTAAAAGCAGTGTTTGATCTTTTGTGCTTGTCCTATATGATGAATTGAAGAAAATAGAATCTAAGTATATCCTATCTAAAAGTGGAAACAGTAAATATAAATTATGTAGGATACTTAACCATACTTAACATTTTGAACCATTAACCTGCAAGAAATAACTGTTGTCTTTAACCAGGCCAGATCATGTTTATAGAGAATCCAGGTAAAGCCTTTAGAAAAGGAGACTCATTTGTTGTGATCCGTTATTCGTATGATGGAATTGATGATTCATGATAATGATTTTATTGGTTTTGTGAAAGTAACAGTTGCTGTGGGTCCAAGGATTTAGATCAGCATAGACCATCTAGTTTAAATATTTTTGTATAGGATCATAAATTTATGTTTAAGTATTTATTTAAAACAAATAAGAAATATATCTACAATTTATATTTAAATATGTGAGTGTATATGTATGTATATGCATATGTGTGTGTGTCTGTCACAGACAGACAGACAGACACATACTATTTTGTGCAGCCCAATATTTTTGGCAGTCATGATCTGTGTTGATCATTCTGCCATAAAACAGTATGCAGAACAGCCTAAAAATAAGTACAGGGTTGTTTTTTAGGGGGAAGAATGTTGGGTGCCGAGGAGAAACTACTAACAGGATCTGCCTGAAGTTAGTTGCCTGTGGCTTCTTTGTATATTCTAGAGATACTGTTGGACTAAGGGAAAAGAAATTCTCTACTTTGTAAATCAAATTGCCTCTCTTCTAATCCATCCTCTACATAGTTACTAAAATGATTTTCCTAATTCTTAGCTCTGACCATGTTCCATTCCCACTCAATAAATTTCAGTAGCCTCTAGTTGCCTCTGAGGTCAAATATAAATTATTATTTGGCATTTAAAGCTCTTCGCAACCTGGCCCCTTCCAACTTTTCTAGTCTTCTTACATATTACTTCTCTGGTTCCCTACACAAAATGCTCCATTTTTATGCCTTTGCATTTCCTGTCTCCCACATCTGTATTGCTCTCCCTCCTTAACTCTGCCTTTTAGAATTCAGGCAGCTATTTGTCAAAATGGATAGAGCACTAGGCCTGGAGTCAGGAAGATTTGAGTTCAAATCTGACCTCAGACACTTCCTAGTTGGATGACCCTAGCTAAGTCACTTAACTAACCTCTGTCTTCCTCATTTTTCTTAACTGTAAAACAGGGATCATAGTAGCATCAATCTCCCAGGGTTGTTGTAAAGATCAAGTGAGATAACATTTGTAAAATGCATAGCTCAGTACCTGGCACATAATAGGTCCTTAATAAATCTTGTTCCCCTCTCCCCACCCTGCCTTCCTTTAAGAATCAGGCAAGTGTCACCTTCTGTGAGAGGTCTTTTCTGGTGTCCAGCTTTTAGGGTCTTTTCTTCTGAGGTTACCTTCCATCTATTTTTTATGTATGTATATGTCTTGTATTTATATATATACATTATCTTCCTCATTAGGAAGAAAGCCAGAACTGTTTTTAAATTTTTCTTTGTATCCCCAGTTTAGTACAGTACCTGGCATATAGGTACTTAATTATTGATACATTGAGTTGAAAATCATTTGAATACCTTCAAGCTTGCTTAATGGCAATAGTACTATAGGGACTTAGAATGCTTGTTCATAATGATCTGTACACAGTAGGCACTCAATAATATTTGCCATCTTAATGAATATTAATGAATAGTCATGTTCTCTGTCCTCAAGGAATTAATGATCCTTGTTATCTTTAGTTTGAAAAGAACATATGGTGGTTGTGTTGCCAAATGAATATGTTTTGTGCTTTTGTGCAAAAGACATGAATCATTTAAAGTTTATAGAAGTTGTGTTCTTCACTGTTTTCTAGGCAGTAATTTTTTTTTTTTGATTTTGAAAATAGGCATCTGACAGCTGTCTGAGTCTTTCAGGCTTGGATAGTGAGCCTGAGCTGCTTAGTATTCGTAGCTGCCCTTCCTCAGAAGGTGAAGCAGGATCTCAGTCTGATGTCAGCAGTGGACTGATTCTTCCCAACATCAAAACTATACAATGTGGTAAGTGAACATTCAAACCATATAGAATCATAGGATTTTAGAACTGGAAGGGACCAATGAGGTCATCTTGTCCAGCCCCTCAATTTTGTATATCAGGTATCTGAGGTCTAAGTAGGTTTCTTGCCCAAGGTCGCATGGCAAAACTTAGATTCCTAATTCTCATCCCAGTATTCACCCTACTGTACCACAATATTTTGTAACTGCTACATTACTTATTTGTTTTAAAATGGTATATGTTGGCAGAGAATATGTGATATGACTTGGGAATGAAGAAGAACCATAACACTACAAATGGTATTCTTAATTCTCATGGAGATTTTAGCACATCAAAACAGGTACAGAGTCTTAGGAGCTATGCTAAAGAAGCAAAACAGTTTTGGTGTCTTAAGAACCATAATAACTGAGTGGCCCGGGATAGAGCCCTGGGCCTGGAGTTAGGAAGACCTGAATTCAAATACAGTCTTAGCCACTTACTATGTCATTCTAGCTTAACCTCAGCTGTAAAATGGGGCCTTCCTTCCAGCCTGGTTGTGAAGGTGAATGAAAATAATATTTGTAAATAGCTTAGCACAGTGCCTGGTGCACAATAGATACTTAATAAAAGCTTATTCCCTCTCCTTCTCCCATAGGAGATCAACTGAGGCCAAGAAGTAGATCTGTGCACACCTTTATAGACTAAATTACTCTGTTGAGTAATTCACTTCAATTCAACAAATATTTCTTTTTTTTTTCTGATGGAAATCAGTTTTTTTCCACTTAATAGCATTTTATTTTTTCCAATTACATGTAAAAATAGTTTTCAACATTCATTTTTATAAGATTTTGAGTTCTAAATTTTTTTTCCCCCTCCCCTCACCCTTCCCCAAGATCAAAGGATATGCACAGTTTTATAGCCTTTTGGGCATAGTTCCAGATTTGCTCTCCAGAATGATTGCATCAGCTCACAACTCCACCAACAATGCATTAGTGTTCCAATTATTCCACATCTTCTCCAACATTTATCATTTTCCTTTTTTGTCACATTAACCAGCCTGATAGGTGTGAGATAGTACCTGAGTTGTTTTAATTTGCATTTCTTGAATCAATAGTTATTTAGAGCATTTTTTTCATATGACTATAGATAGCTTTAATTTCTTCATCTGAAAATTGCCTGTTCATATTCTTTGACCATCTGTCAATTGGGGAATGATTTGGATTCTTATAAATTTGACTCAGTTCTTGAAATATTTTAGAAATGAAGTCTTTATCAGAGACGCTGGCTGTAAAAATTACGACATGTATTTCATAAAGCACCTGCCTTGTGATGGGCACTGGGATATGAAGCTGCCCTTTTGCTCAGGCTTGTAAGGGATGTAGCAGTAAATACAATTAAATTTTAGGAGAGGGAACACTAAGAATGGGGAAATAAATAAAGTTTTTGAATAGGAGCTGGCAAATGATTGGGATCCTTGAAGAAAGTTAGTGGTATTATGAAAGAAGTAGAACATTCTAGGTCTCTTTATTATTCCCAGACGGAGAGCATTCTAAGAAAGGAGTCAACCCCTTGTGCATACTTACTGAGATCAAAGATGGAATGTCAGGTTTGAGAGATAGGTTGTTGAACAATATGGCAGATTATTGCAATAGCCTTTTAATTGTCCTGTATGCTTCAGGTCCCTCTTCTCTCTCTAATCCATCTTCCTCACAGCTGCTAAAGTAATTTTCCTAAAGCCCAGGTATGACCCTGTTGTTCTCCTGATTAGTAAACTCCAGTTGTTTCAGGGAGTAAATTCCCTGTTACCTCTAGAATCAAACAGACTCCTCTCTTGGGCATTTAAAGCCTTTCACAATTTAGCTTCAGCCTATTTTTCAGATTTAAGATGCAGTATTCACTTCCATACACTAAATGTTCCAGCTAAACAGACCTTCTTGCTGTTATTCCTCACACATGTTTCTATGCCTTTTCACGGGTTGGACCTATCCCTGAATTGTGCTCCTTCCTGATCTTCATGTTTGAAAATATTTAGTTACCTTCAAAGATCTTTCCTAATCCTTCCAGGTAATAGTGCCTCCCCCTAAGAATTTATTGTTCAGCCGTTCAATTGTGTTTGACTCTATATGATCCCAAAAGTCCGTGGGTTTTCTTGGCAAAGATACTGGAGTGTTTTGCCATTTCTTTCTCCAGTGTGTCCACATTTTATAGATGAGGAACTGAGGCAAATAGGGATTAAGTGACTTGCCAAGGATCACACAGCTAGTAAGTGTCTGAGGCTGAATTTGAACTTAGATCTTCCTGACTCCAGACCCTGTGCTCTATGCATGGCACCACCTAAGCTGCCCCTAAGAATTACCTCATATTAATTTTATATATACTTTTATTTGTATCTATGTCTCCTGTGATAAAATGTAGGCTGGTACTTTATTTTATTTTATATTATGTTTTTTGGTCCAGACCAGTGATTTCACTGGTAATGAGGATTATTGGTAAAGAAATTCCTTTTACTAATGCTGATTGGCATTTACTCTGCAACATATATTAAGAGTTGCCTTGGGTACCAAGAAGTTAAATGACTTACCCAAGATAACACAGCCTCTGTGTCAGAGATAGGACTTGAACCCAGGCCTTCTTGACACCAAGTCTAGTTCAGTCCACTGTGCAGTAGCTACCTCTCCCTGACTTACCTCTGCCTGTGCTAAATAAATGTTTATTGATTGATTGATTTGACTGGAACACAGAGTATGTGAAAAGGATTAGTATAAAATAAGCCTCAAAAGGTAAGTGAAAGCCAGATTGTAGAGCAATTGAAGTACCAGATTGAGTGGTGTGTCTTTTATCCTAGAAACAATAAGAAGCTGCTGAAGGTTTTTGAGTATGGTATTGATGGGAGTCTTTTTCTTTGTAACATTATTGGATGGCTGTACATAGGCTAAATTGGGGCTGGAAACAGTGATATTAATTAGAAAGCTATTAAGAGTATTCTGAGCTAGAGCTCTAGAGCTGATGAGGATCAGAAGTGGGGTAGTGGCTATGTGAGTGGAAAGAGGGGAAAGATTAATCAAGCAACAAACAATTATTAAATGACTACTATATGCCAAGTACTTTGCTAGGTTCTGGGAATACAAATTCAAAGAAGAAAACAATTTCTGTTTTGAAGGAGCTTCTGTTCAAGCATGAGAGACAAGAAATATGTATCTGAGTATGTATAGGATACATTTAAAGAGAGTAAAAACAAAGTAGTTAAATGCAGTCTAGTTAGAGAGGGAGGGAGGATTACTATTGAGAAGGATCAGGAAGAGCTTTATGTTAGATGATGGTGCTTGAGCTGTGTCTTGATGGAAGAGAGGGATTCTATTAAATGGAGGTAAGAAGGGAGTGCATTCCTTGCTTGGAGGATGGCCAGCACAAAGGCACAGAGGGAAAGGTAAAGTGTCATGTGTTAGAAATAGAGACAAGGCCAGATTGACTAGACCACAGTGTTGGGGTTGAGTGGGGAGGAATGTCCGATGAAACTAGAAAGATAGGTTGGGGACGGGTTGTGAAAAGCTTAAAAAGCTAAATAGAAGAGTTTATTCAAGGTATCCTAAAGGTTTAGCATAGTTTTAAACTTATACAAACTTATAAAAACTTATGAAAGGTTAATTATTTAAATTTTAAGATAGTGATATATTTATTATTGAAATTTAACATGACCACCACCTTATGCTATTTATCCGTCACCCTAGTCAATTTTAGAACTTTGTAAAAACTTTTATTAGCTTCTTCTCAGTCACTGATAGGATTGAATTTGTAATCCTAGATTTAAGACCCTGATCTTAAGAGGAACTGAGAAAAAAATTTATCAACTTTATTATTTGAAATTTACAAAACTAAAAGAGAAATTTAAATAATTAAGCTTAAAAACTGTTTTTTAAAGCTTGCATTTATACCTCTGACGTTATTAAAGCTTAAAAGTACACTAAGCCTTTTGAGACCCCTTGTATTTTATTCTAAGGGCAATTAGGGAACCAGTAGAATTGTATGTAAGGAAAATCACTCTGACAACAGTATGTAGGATAGACTAGAATAGGGAGAAGATTGAATTAGGGAAACCAAATAAGATGCTGTTGTAACGGTCCAGTGACAAGTAATAAAGGCCTGATTTAAGATGGTGGCTGTGTGAATAGAGAGAAGGGGATGTGTTTACAAAATGTTGTGAAGATAGAAATGACAAGATCTGTCAACAGATTGCATAGGTGAGTTGTCTTGAGAGTAAGAAATTGAGTATTTATGAACCTGAATACTGGAAGAATGAAGGCAGTATCCAAAGAAATGGGGAAATGGAGAACAGTGGTGGGTTTGGAAAACTGTGACAGATGTGGAGGTAAAATGGACAAGACTTGGCAGATAATTGAATATGAGGGAAATAAGGTAGTGGGGAGTTTCAGTGATGACTGAGCTTATAGGCCTGGGGTTCTGGAAGAATAATTTTGTCACTCCTGTAAAAATAGGGAAGTTGTAGGAATGTTGGTTTTGGATGGAAAGAATGAGTTCGATATTTGGTATGTTAGATATAAGATGCTAATGGGATATTTGGGAGGAACATTCAGGAAAAGTGATTAGGAGTCAGCTGTATAGATATGATAATTGAACTTAAGGGAGCTTATGAGATCACTGAGAATATTAGAGAGAGAAGAGAAAAAGACCCAGAACAGAATGTTGGAGGATCTGTCATTAATGAACACTATATGAATGATAATCTAGTAGAAGAAACTAAGAAGTCGTTAGAAAGATGGGAGACCCCACAGAGATAAGGGTCAAAGGAAGCTAATGGAGGAGATTGTATATAGGAGAAGGATGTGGTTAATAGTGTCAGGGACTGTCAGGTAAGATGAGGAATGAGCCAAGGCCAGTGGACTTATGTTTTAAGAGACCATTTGTAACCTTGGAGAGAACAGTTTCATTGAGTGGTGACATAAGAAGTCACATTGTGCAAAGGAGGGCCCTCACTTCTGAACCAGTGGAGCTTTCCTAATTGGCTGAT